AAAATTTCAATCGTGAATCACACTCACTCACGGGGTGTCTAAAATTATTCACGTTCACTCACGATCACGGCCCGTGATCGTGAGTGAGCGTGAATCACGTGAAACATGATTCACTTTACCGACACTAATGTGAAATAACTTAAATTACATGCACTTTATTTAATAACGTCAAATCTATTTAAAATATAAGCGTAAATTTATTTTTAGCTATTTATCCTAATTTCCAAATTAATATTATAAACATTGTATAAAGTAGATATGGTTAGACAATTCTCTCTCTCTCTCTCTCTCTCTCTCTCTCTCTCTCAACGTTAGTCGACGATAAGTTAGAAACTTATTGTATAGTAAATGGTATGCGAAAAGTCTTATCCATTAGAAATAAAACTCTACTTATCGTTAATAAGGATGGACTGAAAGACTGACATTAGATAATTGTTTCTTAAGCGTATGGTTTATACCTAAGGCTGCAAATCAAAGTATAACACAAAAAATCTCCAATCAATGAGAGATAGCGTGATGTCTGTGTCTTTCGCTGTAAATAATTTGTCACATATTAGACATAACAGAAAATACAATTCTCTCTCTCTTTCTCTCTCTCTCTCTCTCTCTCCAATTGTTTCTGTTTCTAATCCATAATATCAATGCACTTCACTTATAAGTTATAACTACTACATATGAAGTGTACAATACATGGTAAGTATGGACTAAAACATCATTAAAATAGCAAACAAAACACACATAAGTATAGACTTTGTGTTTGCGTATAGCGTAAAGACTAATAAGAAATCCAGTGAACGATTGTCTGCTCACGACTACAACACACGCCAGAAGTGATGGTCTATTGACGGAGAAAATGATAATCTTTAAAAGACAATTACCGGACACAACCATATATGCGTCTCCAATGGTCTCAATTTTATACACATCAAAGTTGTCCACAATCTCATCAAACGCTGTGTAGAGATCGTTCAGTATTGTTATCACTTCAATAGGCTATTCATTTGATTTAAACGTAATTCAATTAATATATAATTTTACGAAATAGCAAATAGTTTGTAAACAATCATATTGTAATAAAAAATTACATTATTAATTTACAAACAAGTGTACTACCTCGCTGAATGAAGCGATTGTAGTAAAGCCAATGATATCGCTAAAAAATATGGTAACATCACTAAACATTTCGGGCAGTACTGGGCGTCCATTTCGCAAGTTATTGGCTACAGGACTGGTAATGAAATTACTGTAATTTACAATTATGCTCATTACGTAGTGCATTTTAATCATGGTACATTTATATAGATATTTTATCATATCAATATTATAAAGTTTACTAAAATATGCCCTGGCACAAGAAAAAACAAATAATATTCATATGATTTTCATATAACATAATTAATTGCATACATGGGTAACATTCTGTAGAGCAAAGTTTCGCACATTTTCCTCTCGTCCTCGAGTTTTTGTGTCCTTTCGATCACCAAATCCTCCAAATTGTTGGCGTATTTTTCGATCATAACTAACATCGAGTCGATTATACTCTTCTCTCTATTTTGGGTATTGGAGCTCAAAATCATGAGATAAATAAATGGCTATATTATTGTTATAAATTTTTGTTTCACAAAATAAATTATTCATTCATAAAATGCTTTTTTATATTATATTATTTGGGCGTTGCTTACAATGCGAGTCTCCGTTAATAGATTGTGATTAAATTGTTTGAGACGTTCAGCGCCTTTCAGACTATAATGTTAACTATTTGTGAATTTTCTAATGCTTTTTAATGTTTAATAAATCAATTAAGGCTATTTTTATGGCTAATTATTATCACTATATTTAGTCATTAAGTTATATTTAGAAATTATATTTAGCAAACATGAATAATATAATTGCTAATATAATTGATCAAATAGACTGTACAATAGATCATACAATAGACTATACAATATAAAGTAGACTTTACTACCGATTGCCGGAAAACTTCATGAAATCGTCGTAAATCCTGGTAAATGATGGCCTGACCTCTGGCCTCTCGTGCCAACACATGTGCGCCAATTCAATGATATCTTTGGGCACAGAATCGTTGAGATCCTCTAATTGGGGCCGAAATACGGCATCGGTTGCCGACGAGTGGCACTTAATTCTGGCGATGATAT